TTTCAACATCTGTTCTTTATAATCGAAGCAACTCGTTTATGAATCCAACACTACCAACAGTAAATAATGAACCATTGATCCTCTCTGTATCATTGGGGGCACTTGCACTGATAGTATTCATAGTATTAGTAAATTCTTTGTTGTGGATTGTGCTGGTAATTAAGAAGAAGAGAAAGCAAAAGAGAAAGAAAGAGCAAAGTGCCCATATTGATTCAACTCTTAATCCTTCATATCAAATGACCACTGCTAGGAGCCCACCCACAACAATGTTATCATCTCCTATTACTCAGGACAATGTTGCATATAATGAAATAGCTGCAATTCCTCACTTGAATAGGTTAAATCCAAATGAAAAATTTTATGAGGAAATTGATGATATTGCAGTAGACACTGCTGGTACTGCTACTGCTCCATCTACTACACCAACATACTTGGAAGTTTTCTAGTAACTAAATTAACATTAATAATTATTAATTTTGATAGAGCAATTACATAATATACATGTAGTTTGTAGTAACATTATATGACTTGAGAGTGTCTAAAATTATTTTTTCTAACTTATTGTCTATTCTGATCAAAATTAAATTTTTAAAGTTCTCCAAAATCTGGCCAAAGACCATGTTAACTGTTGCACAATGAATGGAGTTCAATGGTTTGTTTAGTAATTAATGTATTGAGGTTGATCTAGAGGGAGTAGAGCTTCAATAGCATGCACTATAAACTGTATTTAGTATGATAAACTAGTATAAATTTTCATTTTCTTATTGAAGTCTGATTGTAAATAACAAATTTCAGTAAATGATGGTCTCTTTCTCTCTCAGTCTACTTGTGGTCTTATTTTATATAAATCTCTCTCAGTCAGTTGCTCCTTATGATACTAATGAGAAGTGCGACAAGTCAAATTCATCATCAAATGTAACAATATTACTGGATACAAATCATTATGATGCAACAGATCTTTTAGGAGAGAATGCTCAGAATGGTGCATGGGTGTCTATTAATGAAACTGTAAGTTTACTTGAAGTACCATATATCTGTTGTTAGCATAATTTCATTTTTAGTGGAAAGAAGTGAGCATGAATAAGGAGGAATGCAGGCATAATTTGACAGTGTGTAAGGACATTCATCCTCAGCAATA